TTTGTTTATAAGGAGAGGCCTGACTACCAGGAGACTTATAGTTCAAGAATATGTTAAAATTATTTATTGCATTAGATGTATGGATTGAAAGAATTATTCAATTTTACACTACACGTCTGGACTACCCGGGGGAGTATAAAATTTAATAAGTTCTTTGCTATCATGATGGTTGAACTCAATTATGCCAATAGGATCGACCTGACTAACAGGGGACTATTTGACATAGAGTTGTTTAAGGAAATTGTATGGGGATACAATTGGTAAGAGTACCTACTTTTAAAATATATGTGAGAAACGACTTGACTTCCAAGGGGCTCATACATATTGTTAAAGGATTCCTTTACTCCACTAACAGAAATAAAGATTTCATAAACTATAATGAGGGTAAATAGTTTAAATCATTAGTGGAAATATCATTTAGATGAAGTCCATGTCTTTATGATATATGCAAATATGTTCTTATATTATTGCCTTTTCTTTCCTACATTTTAGATTTCTCAATATGTCTGTTATATCACTGCGTGAAATACTTGAGACCAATAAGTTGGTAGGACCAAACTTTGTTGACTGGTATAGAAATTTGAGAATTGTTCTCATTCATGAAAAACTTATTGATGTGATCGATAAGCCTGTAAAAATAATCCCACCAGAGAATGATGTTCAAGGCACCAATGTTTATCAGAAATACTTGGAGAAATGTCTTACTACCAAATGCATCATTCTCGCTTCTATGAATTCGGAACTACAGAGGAAACATCAGGATATGGATCCAACTGCAATCATTTAACATCTTAAGAAGATGTTTGGTACACAAAGCAGGACAGCTAGATACCAGCTGTCTAAGGCTTTATTTGGATCCAAATTGACTGGGAACTCTCTAGTTGGACCCTATGTCAATCGTATGATTGATCTTATTGAAGAACTTGAGAAGTTGGGGTGTAAACTGGGTAAAGAGCTTTCTCAAGATTTGATCTTGCAGTCACTATTAGAATCCTTTTCACAATTTTTTATTAATTTCAATATGAATAAAATGGATTGTGATCTTCATGAGATGCTCAACATACTGATTGATTATGAGAATCAACTTGCATCTGAGAAGAAGAAAGGAACTGTCATGTTGGTTGGAAACTCTTCTAAGAAGAAGGGTAAGGGTAAAAATAAACCCAAAAAGAAACCTACTGCGTCTAAAGGTGGTGTGACCAAACCCAAGGGCAAAGCAGGCAAAACTGACAAATCTGATGTTGAATGTTTCCATTGTAAGAAGATAGGGAATTGGAAGAGAAACTGCCCGGAGTATCTTGCAACTTTAAAAGACAAGAAACAAGGTAATACTTTAATGAAAAACGTTTTCAAGGTTTCTTTAGCTACTACTAATTCTTCACTGTGGGTATTAGATACTGGCAGTACTTATAATATCTGCAATATGTTGCAAGGGTTCAAGATAAGTAGAAAGTTAAAGAAAGGAGAAATTAATCTACAAGTTGGAAATGGTGCAAAAGTTGCAGCCGTAGCTGTAGGATCAATTTCTTTAATAATGCCTACGGGCAAAGTACTTATGTTGGATGATTGTTATTATGTTCCTAAATTTGTTTCGAACATAATTTCAGCTTCTATGTTAGACAAACGTGATTTTCACATTAATATAGGCAATGGTATTTGCTCTATTTATTATAGTGATAATTTATATGTGAATGGCTATCTCCAACATGATTTTTATGTCTTACCTAATGTTAATTCTAATTCGATTATGAATGTTTCAAGTCTTAAGAGGAAAAGAGATGATCATGTAAATCAAACATACCTTTGGCATTGTAGGCTTGGTCATATTGGAGAGAAAAGAATTAACAAGTTGTATAAGGAAGGGTACCTTGACAAATATGATTTTGAATCATATCCAACTTGTGAATCTTGTCTCAAAGGAAAAATGACCAAATCTCCATATACTGGAAGTGGAGAAAGAGCTTCTGAATTATTGGGACTAATTTATACAGATGTTTGTGGGCCTATGAAAATTCAAGCTAGAGGTGGATATTCTTACTTCATCACTTTCACTTATGATATGTCAAGATATGGATTTGTGTATCTTATGAAACACAAGTCTGAATCTTTTGAAATGTTCAAAAGGTTCCGTAGTGAAGTTGAGAAGCAGACCGGTAAAAGTATCAAAGTACTAAGGTCTGATAGAGGTGAAGAATATCTTAGTGAAGATTTTACCAAATATCTCAAAGAAAATGGGATTCTTTCACAGTGGACTCCTCCAGGAACACCACAACACAATGGTGTGTCTGAAAGGAGAAATCGAACCTATAATGGGGTTCACTGATCTTCCAATAAATTTATGGGGATATGCTTTGGAAGCAGCAACATACTTACTTAATAAAGTTTCCACTAAGTCAGTCTCTACAACACCATATGAGATATGGAAAGGATGTAAGCCTAACCTTAAACATATTAAAGTTTGGGGTTGTCCAGCTTATGTTAAGAGACTACAGTCTGATAAACTTGACTCGAGATCTGATAAGTGTAGGTTCATTGGGTATCCCAAGGAAACAATGAGATATTATTTCTATCACCCTTCTGATCATAAAGTGTTTGTGGCCAGAGGAGCAACCTTTTTAGAAAGGGAATTTCTTTTAGAAGGAAATTATAATGGAGAAATAGAACTTGATGAAGTTCAAGAAACTAATGAATCAACACAAAATAAAGATCATGAGACCCAAGTTGAAGAACCTTTATTGGATGTTTTGAAGTTGTGAAGGAAGTTGTCATCTTCAATGGTTGAAGTTCAATAACTAAATGAAGTTCAAGAACAGGTTAATGAACCAGTTCCAAACCAAATTGAACAACAACCAAATCCAACACAAGGTGAACATGTTATAAAAGTACCTCTTCGAAGGTCTGCATGAGAACGTCATGTACCAACTAGATTAAATTTATTGGTACAAGATGATGTATCAAGTGAGGTTGATCATAATGATGATGGTCCTAAGACATATGAAGAGGTTATACAAAGTTCCGATTATGAGAAATAGCAAAAGGCCGTGGAATCCGAAATGAAATCCATGAAGGAAAATAAAGTATGGACTTTAGTTGAACCTTCAAAGGATATAAAACCTATAGGTTGTAAATGGGTTTTTAAGAAAAAGATTGGAGCAGACGGAAAGGTGGAGACCTACAAAGCCCGTCTTGTTGCCAAGGGATATCGTCATAAAGAAGGAGTCGACTATGACGAGACTTTCTCTCCCGTGGCAATGCTAAAATCTATTCGGATTTTGCTTGCTATAGCAGCATACTATGATTATGTGATCGTCTTTATCGGATAAAGATTAGTTGATTTCATTAACTAAATCACATAGATAAATGATGCAAATAGAGATATGATCATTGAACCAACTCATTGGATAATTCCTAATGGTTAGAATTACCATAAACTGTCAATAGGATATTCTCTTGAAAAATGTGATGTAACCGTTTCCTTTAACTTGAGATCGTCACAGTAATTGACAAGTTATTTATTGTGCTTTGATACTAGACACCTATGGCCCTAGGGCGATAGTTGAAAGGATATTGGGTACAATTAAATGCTTGTAGAATTAGTGATTGATCAAGATGGAATCTCTCAACTCTTGGTAATGAGTTTAAGCTCCATGTTGTCATGAATTATAAACGACCAAACTAAGACCTTGGCCAGGGCAATTGAATGAAAGAAGAAATGAGTTTCTTAGGTCATTCAATGGTCGATTATATTTGACGTGAACACATAGTTGGTCGCCCATTAGGATTTGACAGTTGAACCATATCCTAGGGTGATCCAGAGCTATAAGGACAAAAGGAATTAATACATAATTCTTCTATAGGTTCTTGAGAGTAAATTGTATACTTCATGCTATCCGGCCGTTAAGGAGTGTTGCTAGACGCCACCCTTGATTAGTATATCGATATTATCAATTTACTACCGGTTTAGTATTGAACCTATGGGGTCGCACACTAACGAGTGTTTTGATCTTTGCTAAAGGATTAATTGCTTCATTATTTGATAATTAAATTAAAGAATTTAATTAGTCAAATAAATTTAGTTATTATTCCAAATGAAATATTATTATATTCTTTGCTAGCACACATGATATAACTAATATTGTGAATAAATTAAAATTTTATTTGGAATAGAAAAATGAAATTATATCTCTTGGTTAAAATATATATATGTGATATATATACATAATTAGCACTTATTTTATATAAGAGATGTTATATAAAATATTAATAAAGTCTTGTTAAGTAAATTCAATCTTGAATTGAATTAATTAACATGAAAAGTCCTTATGGTATTGTCTACAATTTTCAACACATTTGATAATGGGAGTTAATTTTTTAATAGAAAATATTAATAAGTAGAATTCAATTTAGAATTGAATTCTATAAATGAAATACATGTTTTTATTTTAAAACATTGACTAAGTTGCAGAATTCAATTTAGAATTGAATTCCATAAATGACTTACATGTTTTTATTTTAAAATTGTGACTAAATTATAGAATTCAATTTAGAATTGAATTCCATAAATGAGCTACATGTTTTTATTTTAAAATGTTGACTAAAGTTGTAGAATTCAATTTAGAATTGAATTCCATAAAAATATTATATATTTTTTATTTATGGAATACCTACCACAAGACATGTAGTTTGTGTTGAAAATTGTCTATATATATGTGTGAGTTCTCATTAAGAAAATATGAGACACATATAGATATTATACATATTCTAAAGAAATCAAAAGAGTCATTCTTGAGAAAAATTACTTTGAGAAAGTAATAATGCAATATATAACCAAGATAGAAAATACTAGTACAAGAAAATTGTTTCTTGTTCTTCTACCTTTGAGTTGAGATTTTTGAGAAAAATTTCAGCATAATATTTTCATTCAATTTGTTCACGGGGTTTCATCGATCAAAGAGTTGATAGCAAGGACCAGTCTCGGTGTGGATACACATAGAGTCTTCGCACTATCGAAGAAATTTAAAACGAGACTCTCTTCACAAGGTATGTCTTAGATCCAATCTTTGATATGTAAATAAATTTTGAACACGAAATTTCTACCTAGGATTGCTTTTGTCTTCCGCTGCGTGTTATGAACACCTCTATGCGATCCTACAGACCCATCTAAATTAATGTTTACTTCTGCTGACTCTCATGTCAGAATCCTAGATGCCATCAATGTGATCGGCAAGTACAAAGGTTTGTTCCCTTTTCTTATTTCAGATAGTAACTCATTTGATGTCTGTTTGCCCTGTCATTTGAGGACCTTGTGCTTGCTCTATAAGGCAATGAAAATTTATATGTGATTTTGTATGATCGTGGAACATAGAGTATACTTATTGTGTTTTTGACTTGGGTACTTGTTGTGATCTCTCCATTGTAGTTTCTAGTTTTAGCTACTTGTAGCTCCTTATCCTTTACTGTTTTCTAATTTACTGCTGCTCTGCTCTCTAGGCCTCTTGAAGTAATATCCCGTTTTTGAATTGGACAGCAGTTACTATTTTGGGCATAACTTTTTCTCTAAAAATCAGATTGGTGTGATTCAAAAGGCTGCAAAAAGATAAGAGATATATCTACATTTGTTATAAAGACCAAGATGTCCAGTTCTGTGATTTACTGCCTAAAAAATCTGCTGTAATACAGGGCAGAGCTGCTGCCATATAAGAGTTTTCTGTTATCTCATCTTCAATATAAATTTTCTAATATCAGTAGCAACCTTCCTCACGATGTAAATAATGTCATATTGACGTGTTTGACTCTGCGAGATGCTGTTAGGATTGGCTGTTTCTATTGTGTCACTGTTTCTATTGTCATATTGAAGTAGGATTGGCTCTTTCTATTGTGTCACTGTTTTATTACTGTGAGTTCCTTAATTCATTCCTACAATCTTTCATGTGTTGCTAAATTTCTCTGCATCTATTGTTTTCCTATTTCAGGCAGTTGATATTTTACAAACAGACTATGAACCTTCAGATGTGGATATCTTATATGCTGAGGGTGTTACCTCTTCCAATGGACTTTCATGTGTGGATTTCTCATTCCCAGATTCAGAAGATTATGATAATCTTGACAGCAGTGATCATCCAAATTCTGTGCTCAGGTTTGAAAAGTAAAAATTAACATTTGGTTTACTCACTTTTGCACTGTTATGCCTTTGATGGGGAAGCACTTTTGCTTCCTTGACTTATTACTCTCTCACTAATGTGGATTAACCTAGAATGTAGTGGGCGACATAGTAAAAACTTTCATTTATTATATTGGTTAGAGACCCATCTCATGGCTGGTGCATAAGTCGCGGGTCCATGATAAGTAATTGGTATGAGAACTGAAATCGAACAATTGGGCTGGGATTCTCAAAGTAGCTAATCCGATGGGAAATTGAGTCCTTACAACTTTTTTATGCAGATAATCCTTTCTTATAATTGATTTTAGGATCTGCCTAAATGAATATAGGGTGAATTAAAGTAATTAAAAGCCCATCATTTACGGACTTGATAGATGTGTTGTTAACTGTTTTACATTTTCTTTTACTCAGATATCAGCTGATAAGGGTATAGGCAAGGGGGTTCATTGAAAATTGTAAGTGGCTTGAGATGTTTGAATATGTTCGGGTGGTCATTTTCTGTGTTTCATTAAGCGACTATACCCAATATGTTGTTGAAGAAACTGGGGAGACAGTTAACAAGATGTTACTGAGCAAGAAACTGTTCGAGAGCATCGTGACTCATCCAACTCTAGGTGATAAACCTTGCATAACTATTTTTCTATAAATGTCGTCATAGAGTGGTAAGTACTTTTTAATTCTGAATTAGAGGTTTCGGTTTCGAGACGTATGAAATCGTCTTTGTTAGGAAGCGCTTTGATTATTTTAAAAATTGTTCATTCAAAAAAAAATATTTAAAGAATTATTTTACCGAAAAACCATATAAGGGGGTTGCCTTTTTCATTCAAAACGTGATGAGAGTATTGTTTCCCAACACTTAAAAATTGAGGGGGTAAAGTGTATTTTATTCCATTTTTGTGGGATGGGTTGAAGACTATGACTTTTAAGTTACAATTACAAAGTTGAGTGACTTTTAAGTGACAAAAAATAGCTGAATGACTTTACTGAAATGAAATGATAGTTCAGTGACCATGGGTGAAATTACCCCCGGAATAAGGCCGTCACTAAACACTGTTTTTTTTGTAGTGAATTATTTTAACCCGCCCCGCCTCGCCTCGCCTCGCCCCGCCCAATTGCCATGCCTACTTATATAACAAAACATGTAGCTGTAGGAAATGGGAACATTCGGAAATTCCTTGTAAGTATGCTATAAAGGATGAGGTTCTAGACTATGTTGATGATTGCTACAAGATCGAGTCGTATAGAACAATTTACAAAGCCTCCATATATATATATATATATGTTGCCTATGAATGGCCCTGATTTATGGTTTAAGTCACCAAATTCTCCACCTTTGCCACCTTCTTACTTGAAGAAGAAGAAGAAAGGAAGGAAAAGGAAATTAAGAAGGAAATTAGAAGATGACGAGCAAGGAGCCAGTAGCTAGGACGAAGTTAAAAAAGAGACCAAAATCAGTTGTGTGTATTCAGATATATGGTTTTTAAGGACTGCATTCTTCCATTTCAGTCTGTTTGTTGCTTCAAATGATTTTACTCAAATATTGTGAGGTATTTGGGAAAGATCAATATTGTGAAGTATTGTTCAGTTGAAGAGCAAGCTCTGTGGTGGTGATTCCCATGGAAATGGATTTGTCCTAAATATTTTGTTCTTTAAGTTAGTTTACACAAAATAGAGATCCTGCTTGATAGTGTTCAGCAGACTTGCAACCTTTTGGTTTGCGAAAAATAAAATATTGCAAAAGAATCATTGCTTTCTCTTTTGCATTTCCGCATTGCAAAAAAATATTGGATCAAGCTTGTAAAACCATTCTGTCAGTGATCTATCACTAACTTCTCGAGCACAGGGAATTCCAACCATATTTCTGTCATACTAACAAAGTGTATCTCAGAATAAGTCTAAAGTTATCAACTAAAGAGAAAGGACTTATATGGTCCCATGGACAGAATTTTTGGATGAGCAGAACTTAAAATTTTAAAAAACAGAATTTTTAAATATTCGTAAATCATGATCTTTTCTTCCATAAGGCATATATTTAAAATCAAGCTGAACTTGGAGAGAGTCACATCCTGTGATATCTTCCACTTCTTTTTTGATGTTGAGAGCTGAATCTTCAACTGACTTCATGCAGTCCCTCAATCTGATCAACTTCAGTGTTTGGATATCTGCGAAGCTAGACGGGATCTCTTGAAGCTTCTCACAACGACGTATAACCAGTTTCTCAAGAACCGGGAAGGATGCCTCTGAGGAGCGCCATTCGTTCATATCAACACCCCTCAAGTTCAAATATTTGAGTGCTGGGAACTTGTAATCACCTACATCCCAACATCCCATATTTTCATCCTTGAAGAGTATTCGACGTAGTTTGAGTCTCTCAAGATTTAGCAATCTTGCAATATTTGAAACAACTTTTTCTGTTAGGAATATGCTATGAATGGACAAATCCTTTAGATTTGAGGGGAAAACAAGACAGCTGCCCCTTCCGATTCCAAAGTCATGCGACTCTGGCTTGTCTGAGAAGCCCACTTCGAGAGATTGAAGTGGGAGATCTTCAAGATTCGGCATATCAATTTCGGGTATAGGGAACTTATGATATCTAGGTACATACGGTTCAACAATTAGGAGCTTGAGTTGTTCAATATTTGGAAATCTCCACCAAAACTCCGGAGTCATATCAGCCAAATATATACGGCACCTCCCGAAAGACTTCAAGTTCGGTAACACAGTTAGTGAACATTCTTCGAAAATTGCTCGATCATTGTCTTCCCATGCAAATTTAATTTCCTTGATATCCACATGCCTTAGCTTCTGCATTTTCCAAAGACCAGCAGGGGATATCCTACTGCTTAATGAAATAGGTTGCCACCCCACCCGCAAAGTTTGTAGATCGAGTAGGTGATCTACCCACTGGAAACGAAATTCTTGGGTATGAATTGCAAGAAACCTCAAGTGAGTTACTGCTTCCATTGCCCTAGCCCAAAAACGTCCCTCCAAGTAGATATTCAACAAATCCAACACCCGAATATGTCTAATGCAATCAAGTAAACGGACATGAGTTGTCAAATTCCGGTTCCATTTATAGAGTTTTGGATGCGCAATGAACTCAAGAGACCTACCATGACATTGAGCAAATGATCCCACTACATTCAACTCTGCCAACAATGGAATTTTATCCAATGAATATGCATGCTCCACCAACTGCTTGGCCAGATCGTCATGAACATACATGCATAACCGAGGCTCCGATGCACCTAAAGATTGGTCTGGATTATACGGGATTATGAGCTGCATAAACTTTTCTTTTGCAAGTTTTCTCCAGCAAAACTCACGCACAACATCATGAAGAGTGCAGTACTTTATCTCACCATTATCTCTCCTTTTAGAAACCATCACAAGGCTTTTGCTCGCAAGATCATTCAAGAAATTTGTAGATGCTTCCTCCAAGTTATCTGTGTCCGAATTCTGTACAAAATTTTCAGCTATCCACAACTTCAGTAAAATGGAAACTGGAAAATTGTAGTCTTCTGGAAACAATCCCATGTAAAGAAGGCAAGCCTTTAAGTGATCTTCCAGATAGTCGTAACTTGATTCTATTATCTTCATGCTTTGATCTTCTAAAGCATGGGATCTTAAATCATTTGCGACCTTAAACCACAAAGAGGCTTGCCTTTTCTTTGAAATAATTCCAGCAATCAAGACAATCACAAGAGGTAATCCTTTACAGTTTTTGGCAACTCGCAATCCTGCTTTGAGTAGCTTTTGTGGACAGATTTCTCCTTGAAAAACTTTCTTCTCGAGTAATTCCCAGCTCTCATCCTCCGTGAGAAATCGAAGAAAATATGGATTGCTGTGGAGCTTAAGCTGCCTAACCACTTGTTCATCTCGAGTTGTTACCACTACTCTGCTTCCATCTTCACCGTGTGGGAAAGATAATCGCAACTCTTCCCAAGCCTTAGCTTCCCATATATCGTCTAACACGATGAGGTATCTCTTGCGCATTAGACTCTTTCGCAACTCGTGAGGTATGTCTTCATCTCTTATACCATTCATACTGCCTACGACTTGTTTAAGAATCTCAGAGAATACCTTCCTCGAGCTATATTCTTTTGAAATAGAGCACCATGCTCTAACATCAAAGTGTCTAATATCAATAAAATGATTAAACACCTTTCTAGCCAAAGTGGTTTTGCCAAGTCCTGGCATTCCAACGATGGAGATAATGTCTAGTTCCTTTGTTCCTCCGGTCAATTGTTGAATTATGTTTTTTGCATCATCCTCAAAACCAACTACTTCCTCTTCCATTGATGGAAGACTGTGTTGGGTGGAAGCCGTGGCATGAGCAAGAGATATTTCACCACCTTGAATGCTCTCCATGTCAATTAGCTTTGTCCCTCTTCGGCTGCTAGAAATAAATATTACTATGTTAGATCGATTGGCAAAGAGTAGTCGCGTAATGTTCAAATTAAATTTTATGAAGTACCTTTTCTTCTTGATTCCCCTGGTGTTCCTATACAGAAACTTATTCTTTCCCCCTTCCCTGTTGAAAGACATTCTATTCTTCACGTCCAATTAAAATAAGACCAATGTGGATTAGCAAAATTGGATAACAGTTAATTCTTCGTTTGCAAAGTCCCACAATACGAACGTGAACTATGAGGGGAGGATGATGAGTTTGAAGCAGAAGCAAAGTGAAATCTGGAGCAGAGTATCAGATTTAGATGACTTCAAGCCGGATTGAGCGGGATGCCAACCTAACCTCCAAAAACAATTTGAAAATGGTTTCAAATTAACGAGATGTTTTCACATATACATAACATATGGTCTGGTGGCATATTACAAGTATCCTTTTGTTATATGACATTTATTCATGAAGATTAAAAAAATATAATACAGGAAATAATAACAAAACATATGAATCTTTGTTAGGCCATTCTCTTTTATTCAAATTGTAATTGATCAACTGAAGATTATTTCCTCGAAAATTAGTTGGTCTATTGCTCATTAATTGGGGTGAAAGTCTTAACCTTATGTATAATCCTTTTGGATTAATAATCTACAATAGCATCCTACTAAAGATAGTAACCTGTATCGCTCTATAAATCACCACTACTTTTGCGATAATTAACATTTTTTTAACTAAAATTTTGGTTATTAAATATTTCCCTATTTAAAATATGCATAACTTTAAAATTAATTAATTAAGAAACCTTATATAAAGTAATTAACGAATTTCTTTGGACTATTATTATCTTTAGCTCGTGTCAAAAACTATTTACATCTGGCAACCAAGAAAGTATATAAAATTTGTATAATTTTTTTTTATAACTTACATAATGTATATCTATACAAGCAAATTTTATACATGTTTTCCACTATTATTTTTATAGAGGCTATACAATGTCATTTTTCCAATTTCTTTTCATTTTTATGCCTATAGTACTGCTGTTTAAGGTCTCATTAGCAACTACAAGGATAAAATTTAAGTTAGCTCTCTCGATCGGGTGGGGGTTTCATGGAAAGAAAATCATTAGCAAAGCATAAACATCAGACTAATAAAGATTTTAAAAAGAATAAAATCATTACAATAAATTTAAAGAAAAATAGGCTCAAGAAATAGAACAGACTTAAAAGATTTTAACCACAGAAAATCTCACCTTGCACTAAGAAAAGCCGCTGCGGAAAAGATTAATTTATGGTTTGGAGTAGAGAAACTGAAGTAAAGGAGCAAGGAATTGGAAAGAAGATGTGTAAAGGAGAAACTGAAGTAAATTAACGACTGATGAGTCATAGTTGTGGTTGGGAATATTAAATTTAGTAATCCTAGCCTAACCCACCAATCAGGAAGGTGGTTATAAAAAATATTTTAAAAAATCCTTAAATATACTTTTGAATTTCAAACTTATGTTCAGACCTAACTAATGTTTGGGGCAGAATTAAAATAGTTTCTTAAATATACTTTTGAATATTTTGGTTATTTGAGTTTACTAAAAGTGAGTACTTTTGGTACATCGTAGCAAATTCTATTATTAGATTTAATGTAATCGCGGAAAAAATGATTTGACGAGAAACACAGAAGGGACCGAAGAAGCATCAATCAAGCAAACTTTATGTTGGAGGCATGGTGGACTACTTTGATTACGTGTCTTTTTCACGTCAATAATGGAAACCAATATAAAATTTTGAGTTTTTTCCTTTTTAATTAGACAACACACAAGTCCGTTCAAATTTCAAAATATTCATAACTCCAGCACCTAGAAGTTGCAACTCAATACAGTGTGACTTATTTTTATTTTTTTTGCTTTTTTTGAAATGGAAATTATAAGCATCGTTAGAACTAGAAATTTACTTCTATATTCGTTATCTGTGAATGAGGATCGATTGTACTTGGGAAAGACTTTTTATAGTTTTATTAAATAATTACGGGTTTAATTAATAATTTGAATTTAAAATTTATATCGTCTAAATCAAAATTTTGTGGCGACTAAAGTCACACAAACTACACTATCTTAAGTATCAAAAGTAAAAATAAAGTGGGGTTTTTACTTCTAGTCATTATCTCTATATTGAAAAGGATCTTTCCAAGATGTTACGACATAAGCACAGAAAATCTTACTTTGCACTATGAAAAGCCGCTGCAGAAAGTAATTAATACTTTTTAACTTTAATAAACTTTTGACGCATGCTATATTCCTCTGTCCAACATTTGTTATTTAATAAACTTATTATGAGCTGAACTCAATTAGGTAATATTCTTTTTCTTTTAATATAAGACTCACGCTGCTTTAAAACAATTATTTTAGAAATTATTTTTCAGTTTTTAAAGCGATATTTTTCTAAAAATAGGAAATAAATTTTTTATTTTAATTAATTAAAGAAAGAAAAGAAAAAAATATTGTTTTCGTTAAAAAAATGATAAATTTGCACAACTATTGGACGTTTTGGGCATATTTGGACTAAACTATTAACGACGGGCATATTTGTCTTATTTCAAATAGTTCACGGACATATTTAAATCTTTTCCGTTGATTGTACTTGGGAAAAGACTTTTCACAGTTAACTAAATAATTGCGAATTTAATTAATACATTGGATTCAAAACTCATACTAGCATTTAAATCAAAATTTTGTTACGACTAAAGTCACACAAACTGATACTATCTAATTAGGTATCAAAAGTAAAAATAAAGTGGGGTTTTTACTACTCGTCAATATCACTAATATGTACATGTGATCCTCTCTAGCCCTTTATTGTCTCTCCTATTTTTAATTGGTTAGAAAAAATTACGCGTAAATCATGAATTTAGGAAGAAAAAGTTTCCTACGAATCATTACAAAGGAAATTGCATGATGATAAAGCCTTAATTTAAGGAACATGTTCAAAATGATGAAATTGAAAAAGAAAGAAAGTAATTAAGACATGCATTAAAAAAACATACTAAGAGTCATTACATAGTTCATTACAAACTGGAATTGTTCTAGGGCACAAAGTTTCTAGCTTGTCCCTTTCTAGAATAGAGTTGACAAAAGTAAAAGGACTAAAATAAGTTGTTAAGCTTCCAAAAGTAGTTGAGTTGCTTCCATTCTTCGCTATTGAATCAGCCGCCTGGTTTACCTCTCTGACGACGTGCTGTAATGGCGGATCACCTGCTCTACTCAATAGGCATATGCAATTATCAATCAGATTAAAGGCACAGTTCTTATTATGGGTTAAGTTAATGAGCTCTTTACAATCTGTTTCAATGATAAGGGGTAGATAGTTATTTTCTATAGCTATCTTCAAAACATAGACATACTTCTTCTGATTCAGTTTATTCATCATTACTTGCTTTAAAAATAGTGATACATGTTCAAAATGATGAAATTGGTAGGAAAGAATTAATAATATTTTATTTAGGATGGCGGTGGAAGTATGGGGTAGGGTGGGGTAGGGGTCGGGAGTGGAATTAGGTGGGTGGGCCATGGGTGTGGGTGTGGGGGTGTGGTTGTGGGTTCGTAGGGATTGAGGTAGGTGGGGAAAGTTGATAAAGAGTTTTTGAGAAAATTTCCCTCCGCTTAATAAGGAAAACATTTCCTCCAATTGGAGTAAAATGAATTCATAAGCAAAATATTTTCCAAAACATTTAAATCAACCAAACATGAGAAAATTGAAAAATATTAATACGTAAAAAAATTTATACTTTTCTCTTCTTTAGAATAGAAAGAGTTTCAACATGTGTGTTTCATGTCATTTTTAAAAACCTTGAGGGTCACGGTCCTTATCATCTTCTAGGCTCACCAAAACCCTCTTACTCCTGGCCACTAAGGTAAAAACACCATTGCAGAAAAGCTTAGGGGAGTAGAGGAGAATTAGGTGAGGAAAAGTAAAGACAATATCTGCCATATTGGTCAAGTGCCTCAAACAGGCAACAACCATCCATACAATTGGGCTAATTTGACCCAAGTAGACATTGAAGAAGCAACAAAAATCAAGAATCACTAGGTCAATGGCTGGTTTGAACCCAAGAGTGAAAAGGTATATATAAACGAAAGAGAACCCAGTCATATAAGAAGTGATTCTCTGATTTAGATTAGGGATTATAATGGAAAAATCGTCACCCCAATAGCAATCTTTACGTACTATAGGGGTTAAAACTTCTGTAATTTGAGTGGGGTAAGTAGCAACATGATCTAAACCTAGCTTCTAAGAGATTGTCTATCATTGTAAAAAGATAAGTCATTAGGGACTATCTCCTCCATTAAAGGCTCGCGTAGTGGTTCGGAGGGTTCTTTACCTCCAGAAAAAGATCTTTGAGAAAAAAGAACCTCTGGTTCTAGAAGAAGGACCAGAGCTTAGAGAGGGTACAGATGAACTATCACCACAAGTGGACCCTAAGCTACGAAGCATACCACCCCTTCTATGTCTAACAGGGGCATTGGTAAAGGTATCTAAAATAGGAACTCTCCTAGGTTTAGGGTTTGGTGAAGACATAACGAAGAAGAATGATATGGGGAAGAAATGAACAGTGTTTTTAAGAATAAAGTATTCAATAAAGCTTTATGTGGAAAAAGACAAGGAAAGAAGATATATTTATACTGATAAACAACGTCAAAGGAAAAAGTGTAATGATAGAAAGACCATAATAAAGGTAATTGACACTTCGTGAACAATGGAGTCGTAAATAAGCCTTGAAAAGGGCTATAAAATTGCAGAACCAATGAAAAAATGACACATGTACGGAGCATTAAATGGAAACGACAATTGAAGCGTCAATTTTGTCATAACGTTAATGGTGACAAAAATTCTCTTTTAATGAAATCCACTTCTCAAATATTCAACTGATGACTAAATGAAAAGTGGGGGGACTATGTGTATTGAAAAAAAATGAGTTCACATATTAGAGATGATGTGTCTGTATTGGGTGAAAACCAAAATCTTGATTTAGGAAACATGGCATGACACGTGGATCGCAATAAGATAAAGAAGACTTCAACTTAGGCACGGGAAGAAGGTTTTGAGACAGGAATGGGAAGAAGGTTTCGAGACAGGCACGGGAAAAAGGTTTCGAAACAGGCACGGGAAGAAGGTTTTGAGACAGGCACGGGAAAAAGGTTTTGAGACAGGCACGGGAAGAAGGTTTTGAGATAGGCACGGGAAGAAGGTTTTGATACAGGCACGGGAAGAAGGTTTTGAGATAGGCATGGGAAGAAAACTTCAACTCAGGCACGAGAAGAAAGGAATCGATACAACCTCAAGAAAACTCGATGAATGTTAATCTGATAAACAGGAGATAGGTCCTCCAAATATTCTTGAAATATATCAGTAATATATTTGATACTTAATTATAATATAGCATTTAGTGTTTATTCCAATCATAGAGATCAAGCCATGTAACTCTCAAAAATAAGTGAAAAAGAAAGAGGCTCCAACTAAGTATAAAGTTACAGGAAACATGGAATAGTGTATTTAACACTATTTCGTAGTGCTAATTGTTTATAATTTAATAACGGCTCCTTTTTGTAAAGAATCCATCAGTGGATTCTTTAATTAATAATGTAAAGGAAAAGGGGAAATCTATGATTCTATAAATAGTTGCCTTAACCTTAAAAAGAGGATCATCGAATACAAAGAGAACTCACTTGATTCGCAATATTTCTAAAATTATACATCATTGCAATTCTTACTTTATTCTCTATTGAAAGCCTCTTACAATCGTCTCTTAATTATCAGTGACCCGTTCATCTTTTTCAAGCTTTAGTCAAAGAGTCCATTTTTTGGTTAAACAAATTGGTTCCGTTACCAGGAATTTGATAATCTTTCTCTTTAATCTCTTTAAATTTATTACCATCATCATGTCTAACAACGAAGGTAATTCTCTCAACAATCAAATAAACCAAGATGAGAGGAATGCACCACTCAATGAACAAATTCCTCATGAATCACCAAGGGGTTCTCATGATGAGATAACTTCTAGCGATGAATCTGAGCATGCAGATGTGGAAAATGAGGTCTTAAACAAATTGATAGATGCACGAGTGAATAGAGTTTTGGATGCAATACTCAACCGCTAACCTGCCACGACATCGACTCCAAACCACAAAATGCATGAAAATCCCCGTTTTGGATTAATAAATGCAGGGATCATCCCAAGTGAATCTCATGAAGACGAATCAGGTAATTCTTCTATTTCATATTGGCAAAATTTAGTACTAACTTTGTAGCAACAACTCAAGGAGCAAAGTGAACGTATTGAGCAAATTCCTGGAGTTCCACCAGTAATCAAAGGAGTATATATAGACAAATACTCTCAACAACCCTGGAAATCACCTGCTATCCCGTTATCAATTCCTAAGAAGTTTAAAATGCCCGATATCCCAAAATACGATG